TAATTTTTTAAGGTCTCGCTGTACTGCTTTCCACAGCAACTATACCATTTCTCATTCCCACCAACAGTGTACAAGAGTTCCAATGTCTCCAACCTGCTTTTAAAGATTCAGTTACAGGTGTCTTTTCTTCTAGAAAGCCCTCCGTGATCTCCTTGTCCTGGGATAGGTGTCCCTAATGTACATTTACTGAGGACCTATTGTGTGCTAGGCTCTGAGCTCAGCCCTTCAAGCATAAATTTGGGCAGGAGATGATCTCCGCTCTCAAGGCGCTCCCTGTCCTATTACTGAGGGACGGAGAGACGGTAGGACTCAAACTGGAGTTCTATGACAGGCCACTAGAGGGCCCTCCAGGCAGGGAGCAACCGTGAGGTTGGTGTGGGATAAGACAGTAAGGACCAGTTGATGGGGGATAAGACAGTAAGGACCCAGGCAAAGCTAAACACATGTCCAGCGGATGGGTCAGCTCCTTCTCCTCTCTGGCCAGCTCTTGTCATGTAGGAATCCAGAGCCGGGATCAGTAGGTCTTTTAGTTATTTTATTTAAAAATTTTTTAAAAAAGATTTTATTTATTTGTTTGACAGCACAAGAGACAGCAAGAGCAGGAACACAAGCAGGGGGAGTGGGAGAGGGAGAAGCAGGCTCCCCACTGAGCACGGAGCCGGGTGCGGGGATCGATCCCAGTACCCTGGAATCATGACCTGAGCCGAAGGCAGACCCTCAACGACTGACAGATGCCCCTTGCCAGGTCCTTAAATGAGAAGCTGGCAATCTGGATTTCTGTCTGAGATCTCTTAAGGCTCACAAGTGAGCGGCTAATTCCAACGTTTTGAAAGGCATCGTGGAGGACAAGCTCAGCGCTAGCTCAGGGCTGCAAGTTTATAACCCAAGACCCAGTTCCACTCATTAAGCAATTATCAGGAATTAGGAGCTCTGACTATAGCTCAGCTTTCACTTCTCCATGTAGAGTATGAGGAAACCACATGACACTTTTCTCAGGGGTCTTGTGAAGATCATGATCATTAGGTCTTTATTGGATGTCAACCCCTTTGTGGGGGTGGCAACCACATGGACCAGGTGACAGGCCAGGCTTTAGGCTTTGGGTCCACCTTTTATAACCTACCTAACATCGGCCGCTCAGTCTGGGCTCCTAATACCTCACAAGATTTTGTGAGATTTCAAGATCCCAAATAGTGACCTCGCCTTGTGCTGATGGTACTGTGGACGGTCACCAGCTATGGAGTTCCTCCCTCCTTCCTTCCCGATTGATCAGCCTCGAGACTCCCTCCAGATGGAAGTGCTAGAGTAGGCAGTATGTGTGATGAGTTCTACAACATTCCAGAGACAGGCAAGCTTCCTGTGGAAGGAGGAATCAAGGAGAACTTCCTAGAGGAGGAGGACTCAATATGGCTCATCGGTTAGAGAGCTCTGGGCAATTCTGCTCTATGTGCCTGCCTCCAGGGCGCGGGCAGCTATAGACCCTCTGATGAGACTGAGGGCACTTCGGCAGCTCTGGTCTTGGGATGAGAGAGTGCCCGGCTGTCTCTGGCTGCCCTCTGTGGGGCTTCAGCTCTGGACGAGCCTTCAGGAAGACGCCAGAGAACAAGCATGTTTATGAGATGTTTAATTTATCCCACAGATCCTTTTTGAGGGCTGAGCAGGTGTCCGATGCCCAGGTAGGTGCTGGGGTCAGAAATGAATCGGAGAAGGATCCTGCCCTCCAGAGGCTTCCACTCAGTGGAGGTGGAAGTGCTTGGGGTGTTTTCATCACTGAGGTGTGAACGACTAACTGAATCCAGTACCTGGAAAAGGGGGTGCTGGGAGAGGCTGGATTGTGGGGGAGACCGTGAGTTTGGTCCTGGTGTTCCTGCGGGACCTGAGCTACACTCTCAGGCAGGTATTTGAACTGGAATGGTTGTATATATTTAATCACCATATAGGAAGTGTGGGCCGCGGCCCTGGGTATGAAGCTGGAGCCGGAGGAGGCGTGCATTTCCTTGGCAAACCTACCTTAGCACCTGCTGTGTGCCAAGCGCCAGGAGCGCAGACGGGAAGCAGACACAGTGCCTGCCCTCGGCGGGGCATGGCTCTCAGTTTAGCGCGATGTCATAATAGCGATCGTGTTTATAATAGTTACGATTCACTGAGCACCCACGAGGCGCCAGGCACTGTGCTGAGTCTCTCTTGTCCACGTCGCTTCAGCGAATGATCACAGCTACAGAATGAAGCTGGTTCTGTGACTGGCCCGTTCTACAGGTGCTGGTAAAAGCAAGACCTGAGGGCGCCAGGAGATGCTGGTGGTCGGAGGGGACATCCAGATTTGAATCTGGCTGACTGGAAACTGAGACGCTTGGACCTGACCTCGTGCTTTCTCTTCCTTCCCCTACTCATTTCAGGGAGCATCAAAGTTGGTGCTGGACACTGTTTGGCCAGGCTAGCCCCTGGACATTTGCAGAGAGATAAGCCCTAAGTCCCTGACCATGGCTGAGTTCAGCCTGGGAGAGGTGGAGAGAGACAGGAGCAGACTTCAAGGGCAGATCTTTGAAAACACCTGCAAGTGGGGGGCCCACAGAGACGGCGGTGAGCCGCAGAGGGTGGATGGTGGAGTGTGGCCTCCCAAAGCCAGAGAGAGAGAGAGAGAGAGAGAGAGAGAGAGACAGGGTTGGGGATAGGGAGTGAAGCCCAAGCTTGGGCAACACCAGGCTTTGTGTGTGTGTGTTGGCGGGGGGGTCCCTGGGAGCCGGCTCCGGGACACAGCGGAGGCTTCAGGTGGCCCCGTGTTCAGAAGGAAGTGTGTGATGAGCGAGTGGAGACTTCTTGGTCCAGAAACGTGACTTTTATTTTTTTTTTAATTTTTTCTTAATTAAATTTTATTTTTTCAGTGTTCCAAGATTCATTGTTTAGGCACCACACCCAGTGCTCCATGCAGTACATGCCCTCCTTAATACCCACCACCAGACTCACCCATCCCCCCACCTATCCTCATTCACCTCCAAAACCCTCATTTTGTTTCTCAAAGTCCACAGTCACTCAAGGTTCATCTCCCCCTCCGATTTCCCGCAATTCATTTTTCCTTTCCTTCTCCCAATGTCCTCCGTGTTATTCCTTATGCTCCGCAAGTAAGTGAAACCATATGATAATTGACTCTCTCTGCTTGACTTATTTCACTCCGCATAATCTCCTCCAGTCCCATCCATGTTGATGCAAAAGTTGGGTATTCTTCCTTTCTGATGGAGGCATCATCCTCCATTGTAGCCATGGACCATATCTTCCTTATCCATTCGTCCATTGAAGGGCATCTTGGCTCCTTCCACAGCTTGGTGATTGTGGCCATTGCTGCTGTGAACGCTGGGGTAGAGATGGCCCTACTTTTCACTACATCTGTATCTTTGGGGTAAATACCCAGAAACGTGGCTTTTAGAGGAAAAAAAAAATGCTGGAGAGACAGGTCGGCAGACACAAGGCTTCCTTTTCCTCACTCATTTTGTTTAGTTTTGGATGGCGAGGCCTGTGAGTGTCCGCAGGTGGAGAAAGGAACTGGTGGGGAAAGAGAAAAGTTCCCGAGGAACAGAGAGGCGTCCCCCCCCACCTCTCCGCTGGCACCCCCAGACGCCTTTACTATCTGTTCCCTCAACCTGAGGTGGGGCGCGAGGGAGCCCGGCCTCTGTCCTGTTCACAGCAGAACCCTCGAGCGCCTTGCATGTAGGAGATACTCAGTAGGTCCTTTCTGTATTGAACTGGGGTTCACAGGGTTCTACGGGGTGCCCGGCCGTTAAGTCTCAGGAAGAGAAGGGCTCGTGAGGGCTGGAAGGAGGGGCTTCTCGCTGATGCTGCGGTGAGCTGAGCGGAGACAGGGGAGAAAAGACGCCAAGAGGGAGGAGAAGGAGGAGCTCACACCCACGACTCAGAAAAGTGTGTGCACCTGAGGGTCAGGGACGGGGCGGGACTTGGGATTTACAGAAGTGGAGGATCGAGAATAATAACAGTTAGCCATGTTCCTCAAGAACATTCTAGAAGGTTACTCATCATTTACTTATTTGCATTGTTTGACCACTGCTCTGTTGGAAATGCCTTCATTCACTTCATCCTCACAAGGACTCTCTGAGGCAGGACAGGTCCAGCCAGCCTGGAGGAGATGTCGCTTGTGGTGGGGAAGCCAGGATCAGAACCCAGGACTTGAAGCCCATTGAGAGTCTGTGATGTCAACCCCTGAGCCACACTCCTCCCGCTCGGCCTTATTTCATATAGTTCGCTCCACACCATGAGCCTCTGGGGCGGCAGGGAGCCGTTAATCTCTGAGATCACAGGAACAGAGAAGTGTGGTGACTTGCCCCGAGTCACACAGCTCCTGCGTGGCTGAGTGGGGACGGTGGCTTGCATGGCTCTGGCCGCAAGCCTGGTGGGATCTCCTTCCCAGAGAGAAGGAGTGTAGGAATTCCACAAGGAGTCCGGTGCCAAAATGGAGGCACCGGCGACAGTTCCCAGCATCTCCAGAGTGGGGATCTCACAGGCTCCTGGGTTGCCCCACCCCAGGAGCAGGCCAGAGTCGGGGGTTGGCAGGTCAGGAGCGACAGGAAGAGGGGGTGCTGCCTGGCTGCCATGGCTGTCCTTGAGTTGAGCCCCAGCGAGACAGAATGAGATACGAGCAGGAGCCATGGGCTGAGGACTCCACGGGGACGCAGGGTAGCCGGAGGAGGGTGGCTACCCTGGGAGGGTGATTCCAGCTCTCCTTTCCCTGCTGGAGAGCCCTGGACTGCAGGTGGCCCTAGCTACCCTCCTAGGTGTCTCTCCTGAACATCGCCTGGGCACTGTGACACGCTCCAAGGAATCGCAGCTTCGGGACACAAGAGGCAAAAAGTCCTTGGGGGTCCTGAGGGGCAGAAACAGGCCTTCCTGTTTGAGCCGTCAGGACTCCTGGATCCGGCCCAGGCCAGAGCGTGGGAGGAGTGCAGAGAGGCCTTTAAAACCCAAGGGCCCAGCCCCTGTGTCTTCTGCAGGTCTGAGACAGAGAGAAGGTCTCCCTGGTGAGGAATCTCATTCTGGGGGCTGCCTTGCTTGAGGTGAGGTGGTGGGCAGGGCACAGGGAGAAAGAGGGCCTGGGAGAGGAGGCCCCTGATCCCCCAGTGCATCCCCCCAGATTGAGGGGAGGTCTCTCACATGTCTGCTGTGCTGTGGGGCTCGGAGCTGTCCATCCTTTGTGGTTAGAGACCTGACCATGGTGGGGGCAGGGGGGACAGCTGCTCCATCCTCTCCTTCCAGGGACCCGGCCACTTCCGACCCCCACGTTTTTGGGCTTCTCTTAGGCTGTCTGTCTCCACTCCCTCCACCTCTCATGACCTCAGCCACCACTTTACTCCAAAATTATCTCGCGGCTGTGCTCATTTCCCTCTGTGGTCGCTTGATAAAAATAGCCAGCTCCACATCCTTCTCCTGGGGGCTGGCTCTGAGATCCAGAGATGGGCCACTTTCCTGGACACTGGGGCGGCTGTGTCCATGCCTCGGTCACCTCCTCGGTGAGACCTCTCTGCATCAGGTCCCTTCCCACGGGGCCTCGCGCTATTCCCTGCACCAGTGGCCCCGTCCCAAGGTGCTCTAAAACCTGCCTGGGAGTTTGGTTCCTTTCAGGTGTGGTGAGTCCAAGAGATGGGGAGCGGGGCGCCATTTGGAAGACAGTCTGTTATTTATGGTTTCTGAAAGAAGGGGACCCACGGCATGGTCAGGGACACACGGGGAAGCACCAGGGCTGATCAACAGGCAGAAGAAATGAGAGCAAGCTCAGTCCAGAGCCTTTCTTGTGTTTTCCACTGGCAAGGCAGGGCAGGGCAGGGGAAAGAGTTCGGGACTGGCGGCTCCAAGGATTTCAGCGGATTCTGGGCTGCAGGGGTGGGGGTATCCCCAGCTGCCTGCTTTCTGGCCCCGGGGTGATTTAGGGCAGTGGAAATGCTGGCTGGGAGTGGAAGAGCTCGATAGAGGGGTTCGGGTGTGAATTGCGGACTGGCTGGTTTGCTTGTATGGAAGCCATGCTCCCAGGGGTCTTCTGTTCCCTCTAGGAATTAGCTACTCCCGGGAGGGACTGTGTCTTCCCAGGCCGGCAAAGCATCCACAGGACATCAAAGCATCATCCAATATGGAAAAGGGACACTGTGAATAGTTCACAGGGGCTGCTCAGAGGCAGTGAGAAGAGTAGATTCACAGTCCTGGGCTGAATCATTGGGTAGCTCACGTCCCCCTGCCTGAGCCTCATTTTCCCCATCCGTGGGATCAACGACTGATATCCCTTCGTTCAACAAGTTGAAGGGACAGACACCGTGCCAGAAGGTTTAACAATAGTCACCTGGCAGGGTCCTCGGCAGGCTTGAAGCGACAGGGGACAGAAACTGGCACGCTGTGGATCCCCCGTGCGTGGTGGCTGGCCCCCTCCTCCTGTTGCTGCTCTGGGAAGCAGCCGAGGAAGACTAGTGTGGAAGGATAGGATCTAGAGCCTTTTCCCTTGGCTGGTTAGAGCTCTCGGGCCAGAGGCCATGGATGGACAGAATCCTGAGGAATGTTCTTGGAACTCAGAGGTGCTGCTGGACAAAGGGCGGCCTGGAGAGGCCAGCCCGGTAGCCAGAAGCCCCGGGGAGCAGAAGCTTGTGTGTGCTTGGAGCCAGGCCTCGGGCGGTGCCAGGGGCTCAGGGCTGAGCACTGCACAAGTGACCTCCAGACTCAGGGATCAGAGACAGCTGGGCACCGAAAGGGAAATCCTGGCAAACCATCAGCCAAACGAGCAGCTGTGGATAAACAAGGATTCTGGGGAAAGGAAGGGAAGGGAAGGGAAACAGGCAGTTGCCGGTAAAGAACCTCTGAGAGGCCAAGTTTGAATCAGGCACTGGCCCAAGACACATGGAATTTCTTCTGCCTTCTGGGTGTGACTTTTCGGGACTCAAGTGGGTGATTCAGATGTTTGCCGAAGGCAGGTGCTGGGGAGGGAAGCTGGGGTCTCCAGGCTCCATGGCTCAAAGGGCAACTCACCCTCCATGATAGGAGGCTGTGTCCTGCCATGAGAGGTGCATGGGCCTGGCTTTGAGCCCTTCCTTTGCCTCTTACTAGCTGCATGGCTTCTGGCAAGTTCCATGAGCCCTTTGAGACTCCTTTTTCTCCACGAGCTCCATATGAGCTCTCAATGGGAACAAGGACACCTACCTTTTGAAGCCCTCATGCTTATCTCGGGTCGAGTTATTTCTTAGGTAGGCACAGTGCCTGGGGCCCATGGAAATGTCTGCACTTGAACTCTTAGAATCAGGAGGAAAAAAAAACTGAATGTATGAGTCACGAATAGGTAATATCACATTCAGCCTGGACTGGGTTCGTTTCCACGCCAACACAGTTGTAAAATAGCACTTGAAAGAATTTTTTTTTTTTGGAGGAAGGGGCCTGTGAAGGCAAAAGTGCTCGAGACCCACCAACCACAACAAGGCCCCGAAGGGTGGGGACATGGTCTGCGGAGCGCGCTATTGTGTTGGGGCTTTTGTGGTGGGAAAGTCCTCTCCTGCCTCTATGGGGGACAGTACCGCATGAGGGCTCGGGACCCTGGGATCAACTCCTTAAGGTTTTTGCCTCTTTCCTGACTGAGGTCACCCACATGCTGCTCAACAGGAGTGTGTAGGGTCTGGCGGGGACCCAGAGGTAGGGTCTGAATGCATCCCCTGAGAGACATGTCACGGGATGTGTTTTCTTTTCCAGAACCCCAGTGATGAACGGCCTTCTCCCACTGGCTTGGTTCCTCATTTGTAGTAAGTGCTGGCCCCATGACCTCTGAACTTGTGACCTTTCACCTCTAGGAACAATAGGGTAGTGGAAAGGAGGCTAGTCTTTGAGGTTGGGGAGCCTTGAGTTTGAATCTCGGCTCTGAGCCTCTGTGTCCTCCTCTGTGACCCAGGGTGATATGCAGCCCCCGGATGGGGCTGTCACACGATTTCAGGTGGTGACAGGTGAAGACTGTGCTACGGGGACAACAGGCGGCTTGCAAATGTGGGAGGCATATTTTTTCCTTTGGTGCAAAACAAAACAAAATAAAACCCAAATGAGAACAAGACCCATCTGTAACTGTCCCATCCTGGGTCATTCTCTGCAGAGGCTGGTCCCCCCTGCTATCACCTCCCAGCTGGGGAGAACTGGCACAGCACAGGGGAGCCCCGTTCCACGTGCACAGCACCCCAACAGGCTGGCCTAATCTTTAATGTCTTGCCAGATCCCTGGAGACTGCTGGAGAGCGGAGGGTGGAGATCTAGTGCAGGGAGGGAACCCTTGGCTCTCTGTGAAACCCTGAACCTCTCCCTCCAAACTACTGTTTCCCACTCTGGAAGGCAAGGGAGCTGGCTTCAATGATCTGGAGGGATCCCACCTTGCTAAGGTCCTAGGCCTTATGTCCTAAATGGTATATTTGTGAGGAGGGACATGGCATCATCAGGAGAGAAAGCTACCCTATTAATTAGACCTCCTATTTCTTGGTCATTTACTAGGTATCTGCCTAGTGAAATTCACATACTTTCTCTGCCTAGAAAAGACACATACTTTCTCTCATTTTAACCTTTAGGATAAGTCTAAAATGTAGGCATTCACTTTGGGCCCTCCCACCCCACCCCATTTCCAGATGAGGAGTCAGAGGCTCTGAGAGATTCAGTGACACACTCAACCTCATGCTGTGAAATGAGTGGCAGAGACAGGATTTGAACCCACGGTTCTCATTCTCCAAGTCCAGACATTTAGCTCTACTGCTTGCCTCCCCCTTCTTGCTCCTGTCACACTAATGGGGAGAAGGAGATGCCTGGGTCCCCACAAGCCCCAGAGTGGGGGCAGGGGCAGGTGCATGCCCGATAATAAGCATGTTCCCCGGGGGCCGGGGGCTGTCTTCCAGATGTTCCTGCTGTGCCCGGGGGCTTGTTGGAGCTCAAGTCCATGATTGAGGAGGTGACCAAGAAGGACGCCCTGATGAGCTATGGCTTCTACGGCTGCTACTGCGGCTTGGGCGGTCAGGGGACCCCCAAGGACGGCACCGATTGGTGAGCTGATTACCATGATAATCCTTTATGCTCAGCCTCTGTGCCCACATGATCTCGAGTAATTCTGTGTCAGTTTTGGAAGATGAGTGTTCAAGGGCCATGTTATATGGGAGAAAATTGTGTATCTGGGGGGCTAACTGACTTGCCCAAGACACATCTAGAAACGTCATGCTTCTCAGTGACCACGCGTGTCAGTTGGTCTGTTGTTATGTACATATCACCCCAAAGTGAAGTGGCTGTAAGTGACCATGACCATTTATTTTGCTACGAATCTGCCTTCGGGGCAGGGCTTGGTGGGATAGCTTGTCCCTGTTCCGCCCAGCTTCTGCTTGGGCAGCTCGAACAAGGCTGCACTATCCAGTTTCCAGATGGCTCGCTCCCATGTCTTCTAGCTGCTGGCTGGGGGCTCAGTGGAGGCTGTGGGCTGGGGGCCTCGATTCCTGTCACTTAGGCCTCTCCCAGTCTGTTGGGACTTCCCCACAGAACAGTGACCATGGGGTTCCAAGACTGAATGTCCCAAGACTGCATGAAAAAGTGTTTAGCTTCAGAAATTCTATGGTGTCCATTGGTGGAGGCAGTCACAAAGACTTTGGAAGGAAAGGGACCTAGGTTCCATTTCTTGATTGGGAAGTGTCCAAATTCTAGAACATGTGAGACAGAGAGATGGTTCTTTGGAAAATTCCGAGACTCCTGATGTGGATGATGGCATAGGTCCATTGAGCAAACGGATGGCAGATGGTGGGAGCCAAGTTTTCCACTGTTGGAGTTCACTTCTGGGGCAATGGATTGGAGATGAGGACGTCAGTATGAACTCCTGTTTAGCTTAATATAGGCACAGGTGGTTGCATACAGAAATAGGTACAGGTGTGTGTACAAACACAGGTTAATAGAGACACATTAATTTTGCTCTGGCAGCTGAGAGGACTAAATGAAACAACATCCCAAGAGCAGTAAGCAACTCCTAGTGCCCAGACGTGGTCTCTAACACTATTCGCCATAAAGGGGAACAAAGGCTCCTTGGAGACCTGACTGGTTCTAGGACCAGGGCAGAAAATATACAGGATGAGTCTGGAGTCTCCTATAAGGCCAAAAGATAAGGAAGTTCTCCCTTGATAGAGATATGTGAGGGAGCGCAGGAGCCAACAGGAAGGGCTCCCATTGGTCAAAGCTGGAGTAATTAGAGAAGTAAAATAAACCCATCGCCCCAGTCTTTTTTTTTTTTTAATTTTTTAATTTATTTGACAGACAGAGACCACAAGTAGGCAGAGAGAGAGGAAGGAAAGCAGGCTCCCTGCTGAGCAGAGAACCCGATGTGGGGCTCGATCCCAGGACCCTGGGATTATGACCTGAGCCGAAAGCAGAGGCTTTAACCCACTGAGCCACCCAGGTGCCCTCATCGCCCCAGTCTTATCATGAGAAAAACATGAGACAAACCCCATAGAGGGGCATCCTACAAAATACCTCCCCATCATCCTCCAAACATCAAGGTTATCAAAGCCAAGGAGAGTGTGAGCAACGGTCACAGCCAAGAGGAGCCTAATGAGACATGTCCACTAAACGTAATGAGGTGTCCTGGATGGGATCCTCACGTAGGAAAATATATTAGGTAAAAACTAAGGAAACCTAAATGAACTATGGACTTTTTATAATTAATGAATCAATAATGCTGTGTTATGATTTAGCTGATTATTTAGTCAGTGACATCAACATTGGTTTGTTAATTGTAACAAGTGTATTGTATAAGATGTTAATGATGGGAAGAACTGGGTGTGGGGTAAAAGGGAACACTCTGTACGACCTTGTTCATTTTTCTGTAAATCAACACACACACGAAAAATGCAATTGGATGCACCTCACATACTGGAAGTTTGTTTTTTGCTCACATAACAGTTCCATGTGAATCATGTGTGAATTCCAGGACCCAGGTTCCTTCCATCTTGTGGATCTGCCATCCCCTGTGGCCTCAGGGTCCCCTGCAGGGTTATTGCCATCCAGCTGAGAGATGGAGGACAGTGTGGGAGGGTTTCATGGGTGGATCTGGAAGTGGTGGGCATCCCTTCTGCCCATGATGCCCGGGTGGGAACCAAGTCATGTGGCCACACCCAATTGCAAGGAAGGCTGGGAAATGTAGGCTCACGTAGGCTTTCCTGGAGGAAAGAGGGGGTCAGTGAACCCCTTGCTGATGGCAGGCAGCCTCAGTGGAAGAGCAGAGAAGTATTTAGCCATATCCCTAGATTCTTTCTTTGCCAGACCACACCTACCTAGCTGGCCCTTGCTAAAGTGACGTGCCCCCTCTGCTCAGGATCTATGCCTCTTTCAATGACAGGTGCTGTTGGGCGCATGATCACTGTTATGGGCGGCTGGAGGAGAAAGGCTGCCAAATCTGGACACAGCCATATACATACAGATTTGCACGGGGACTGGTCACCTGCGGTAAGACTGGGGCTTCCCATTCGGGCCACTGATGAGAACCTGGGTCTTTTCTAGTTCTGAGTTCAGCTGCCCCTAGATGTTAGCCAGCCTATACCTTGGAGGGCAGAGCTGGGGGCCAAGGGAGGCAGGATTATTGCAGCCACATCTGACCTCTGGGGAAGGGCTGAAACGTCACAGACTGAGCATTCACCAGGTGTCAAATGCTTTGCATACCTCCATTTACTTGCTCCCCCAAACACCTTTTGAGGCGTGTTTAGTCTTCCTGTTTTACAAATGAGGAAACTGGAACTCAGAGCCTTGCGAGTGCACACAGCTACAGCTAGGATTCAAGCTCACGTCCATCTGAGTTCAGAGCTAAGTCTGGGGGTGGTGTCTCCTCTATGAGAGCTGGAGTTCCTCCGGAGCAGGGGCTGACTCCACCATCAGACTGGGGACTCCCAAGGGCAGAAAAGGTGTCTCTACCACCAGACTACGGACTCCTGGAGGGCAGGGGGCTAAAACCTCTCCCTGGGGCAGGAGCTGTGCCTCTTCCATCAGATCCCACATTTCCCAGTTTGGAAGCTGTGCCTCCCTCATCAGACTGAGAGCTTCCTGGGCCAGGAAGCAGATTGGGGAGTCCGCTCAGACTGGAAGTAAGCCCGAGGGGCATTGTTGGTCGAGCCCACCTTCCCTTCCTCACTGTGCATTTGGTGTCCTGTCTGCAGGGTCTGGGTCCTTCTGCCAACAGCAGCTCTGCACCTGTGACCAGAAGCTTGCCCACTGTCTAAAGAGGAACCTGAGGAGCTACAACACTTGCTACTTATACTTTCCCCAAGTCTTCTGCTGACCGAGGCTTTTTTCCCCTTCTCCTATATCACGGAGCTCACTCATGCTGCTGGGCTCTTTGCTGCTGGGCTCTTGAGAGAGGCTCCTGATCTCGGCCCTCCTTCTCTCTCCATGGCCCACGGGGCTCGGAGGAGCCCCACGGCCACTCTTCATGCTGCACAGAGTCCCAGGAGAGGGACTCTGCTGGTAGGACATGGTAAGGTCAGGGTCCCTGACCTCCGCTTGGGAGCTCGCCCCTAGCTCCGGGCCGGCTATCTCCCCCTTACCCTGAAGACAGCACCACCCCCCAATCCAGGAAGATGCATTTACTTTTCAGTTTCTGCAATCTTGGATTCTCACCACCACCCTCTAGAGAGTGTGCCATACAGATATTAAATAAAATTTATTCTTAAGACAAAATCACACAGGCATTTTCCTGGGCTCCGGGGAATTGCCCGCACCTCTTCTCCCTCTGCCACTGGGGCTCTGGAACCCAACTTTACCATAGACTCTCAGGAACAGAGAGTGTGGGTTCATAAATAGAAGCTTTTAGGGGACCAGGGGCACCTGGGTGGCTCAGTGGGTTAAGCCTCTGCCTTCAGCTTAGGTCATGGTCTCAGGGTCCTGGGATCGAGGCCCGTGTCAGGCTCTCTGCTCGTCGGAGAGCCTGCTTCCCCCTCTCTCTCTGCCTGCCTCTCTGCCTGCTTGTGATCTCTCTCTCTGTCAAAAAAATAAATAAAATCTTAAAAAAAAAAAAAAAAGAGAGAAGCTTTTCAGGGACCAGATCCAAGTCTCCTTTGGAGTTCATCTCCTTACATCTTGGGGGGGCCTCTCCAGCCAAGCACTGGGTTTCATTCTTCCTTGAGGAGGTGGGAAGAAGATGCTTAGGAATCATGCCAGCTTGGGCTTCTGGGTCAGCGAGGGTCACGGTCAAATCCCAGCACTGGCTTCTCCAGCCGTGTGGTCTCAGGCTTGTTACCAAACCTCTCTGACTTCCAGTTTCTTTTAAAAAAGAAATGAGCTCCTTGATATGAGGAAGTGGAGATGCAACGTGGGGGATTTGGGGGGTAGGAAAAGAATAAATGAAACAAGATGGGATCGGGAGGGAGACAAACGATAAGAGACTCTTAATCTTACAAAACAAACTGAGGGTTGCTGGGGGGTGCTGTCGAGAGAGGGTGGTGGGGTTATGGACATTGGGGAGGGTATGTGCTATGGTGAGTGCTGTGAAGTGTGTAAACCTGGCGATTCACAGACCTGTACCCCTGGGGCTAATAATACATTACATGTTTATCAAAAAATCAAAAAATCAAAAAAAAAAAAGAAAGAAAGAAAGAAATGAGAATGTTTCACGTAATATAAGTGGGTAATCCAGAGGCCACCTGGGTGCTGACACAGGAACGCTGAGGTTCTGGAATGTCATAGAGAAGGATATTAAAAAAAAATAGGGGGGGCGCCTGGGTGGCTCAGTGGGTTAAAGCCTCTGCCTTTGGCTCAGGTCGTGATCCTGGGGTCCTGAGATCGAGCCCAGCATCAGGCTCTCCTCTCAGCAGGGAGCCTGCTTCCCACCCCCCACCGCCTTCCTCTCTGCTTACTTGTGATCTCTGTCTATAAATAAATAAATAAATAAATCTTGAAAAAAAAAAAGAATCTGTTTTTTTCTAAAAAAAAAAAAAAATAGGGTTCAGAGGAGGGGTTTATTTTTACCAAGCAAGGACTCTAAAAAAAAAAAAAAAAAACCCACCTCATCTATTGATTCATCAAAGAAAGGATGTTCTAATGCCAAGATTGCAGGAAGAAAGCGCACATTCCAAAACAGAGGAGAGTCTCTTCCAAGAAAGGACCTTTGGTTTCCTTACGCCGACAAGCCCCAAAATAACCATATGATAAATGGGATCTATATTTAAAAATTCCAACGCTGAACGTTTCCAAAATAAAATTTAATTTTATGAAATGACTCCTAATGTCTTAGAAAAGTTTGCGTCTGTATTTGACAGAGTTTCACGGAATGGGGTTCAAACATCCCATTTGATCATCAAAAAATAATTTTTTTTAAATCAAAACCACGTCCTAAGTCCAAAGTTAAATAGGACTGTTGGAGAGTCAGAAACTTTGCTGTGATGCCATCTCTCCCCAGTTGCGGATATCCTGGCTGATGGAGAAGAGACCCCAGCCCTGGCTTCTCCTGCCTTCCGTCAGGGTCAGGTGGCAGGCGGGGGTGGCCTTGGTGCTAAGTCCTGCAGGACAGGCTGTCTGCAGGCTGTCCTCTCTGGGCATCCCAGCTTGGGGCACCAGTGTTCAGACGGGCGCAGGCAGGTGTTTGTGAACAAAGGAGGCTGCGAGGTTGGGGAAGCAACACCACAGGCTGAGATGGGCTTGAACTGGAAGGACCCGTGGGGGGACCTTTTTTTAATCTCCTAGAAAACTGAGGTGCAGAGAGGTTAGGAGACTTTCTCAAAGTCACACAGCACATCAACAGCAGAAAGTAGAGTTAGACCTTAGATCTTGGTTCTAAGCCCTAGACTCTGATCGCTAACTCCACTGTCTTCTACTCCGGCCCACACAGAGAGAACACAGAACCTCGGGTGGTTTAGGGACTCATCCATATTAGGGGTTCTCAGGATGGTCCCCTGGATTCCACCTGAGGGCCAGGTTCCTCTCTGCTCTAACATTCTTGGATAACAGAGGCCGTCCCTGGGTGGTTAGGCCAGCTGGAGCTCTAGCTTCATCCTCTGGAGAGGGGGACCCCGTCGAGGTCCTCCATGGTGACTGGTCCAGACCCCGTCTCGCTGCCGTGAACATCCCTGGGGGAAATGATGAAATCCAGGAATCACCAAAACCTGGGAGGAAGTGTTCTCTCTAACTCTCTTATTTGACTAGCTCTGGGGTGACAGGAGAACCATCAGGGAAGTCATGTCTCAAAACGGCGAGGCCCCACCCAAGGGACAGACTGTCCTAGATCTATCATATGTCCCTTGGCTCTGTGGAAACTGCAATTCCCAGAAATCCCATCCCCGCAGAATCCCAGGCTGGTGTGGGTCTCTGGAGATGTTCTGCGTGAGATAAATACCTGTCGCGGCTGACACCTGTTGTCCTGTATGGGCTGCCTCACGGTGCCGGTGTCAGGAAGTACCAGGACCGCAGCCGCTCTGGGTCCTGCCAGGCCACCTGCTTTAGCTCCTCCCATGGGAGGTGACGAGATGGTGAAGGGCATCCAGGACTGTCCTCACGGTTTCCACTCATCCTTGCCGTTTCAGTTCGCCCTGTTGCTTGGGCCACAGGATTCCAACAGCAGCCACCAGCAGAACAAGAAACAGCCTTTCATAGAACGTTTTTTTTTTTTTTTTACTGGCACCCACAATCATGGAAGTCCAATCCCTGTAAAAAGTTCCCGATTCTTTTTTTAAGATTTTATTTATTTATTTGTCAGAGAGAGAGAGAGAGAGAGAGAGAGCACAGGCAGGCACAGTGGCAGCAGAGGCAGAGGGAGAAGCAGGCTCCCTGCTGAGCAAGGACCCCCCCCCCCATGCGCAACTCGATCCCAGGACGCTGGGATCATGACCTGAGCCGACGGCAGCCGATTAACCAACTGAGCCACCCAGGTGTCCTAAAAGTTCCTGATTTTTTATATCGGAATCTCCTTGCTGTTCTGGGGCTCCGATCAAATCCTGGTTGATAGAGCCGGCTTCCCGGGGCGTAGCGGCGTGCCTGACACACAGCAGGGGCGTCACAAGTATATGCTGACTGAGTAAGGGGCTGAATGATTTGATGAATGAATGAGACACAGTCAGGAGCCAGGGGAGATAGCTCGGTGCCCCGATGTCTAGCAAGGGGGTGTGGTCTTCCTGCATCTGGCTTGCCCCTGGGATGAGGTTCCAGACTGCTCCATGTGTCCAGAACCTGACCAGACAGGAGGCCAACTTCTGGTCACCCTGTCACATTTGTTTCTGACACTTGCTCTCCGGACCTGTGCCAGCACGAGAGTGCTCCCCTCTGCTGCTGTCAGAGAGAACCATCCTATCCCACTCAGGTGGCAAGAGCCTCCCTTGAAGTCCTGCCACCTCTTGGAGGCCTCTTAGGATGGTGACCATACCCTTCCCTGCTGAACTCAGAAAGCTCACCACCATGGCATAAGCCAAGCCCTGGTGGAGTTTGTTGTTATCAGTCAAGGGTCCTTAATCCATCTTTTCTTTCACATACTCCTAATTGTGCCACTCCCTCCCTCTAAGGCCCTTAGTGGCTCCCCATTGCCATGTTCTTCAGGCTGATGTTCAAGGTCTTTCTGCGGCTGGCTGTGCTGCCCTTCCACTCGATCTCCCAACCATTCCCCACTTCCCCAGATCTCCGCGCCTCCCATTTTGCCCTGTGGGTTCCACTCTGTCTCTGTTCTTGCTGCTGCTTCTCTTCTGGGATGTTGTCTCCTCTCCTTTATCTGTGAGTTGTTTTTTTTCCTTATCAGTCATAAAAATCATGAAAGCTACCACTTACTGACCACCTGCCACGTGCCAGGGACTTTCCCACGGGTTGTGTCCCTTCATCTTCCCGACAACCTGACAGGCAGGTGTCACAATCCCACTTCATGGGCAAGTCCATTGAGGCCAAGCATGAAACCTTGGTCACACACCCAAGAGAAGCAGAGTGGAAATTTGAACCTGGGACCATATAGATCCAGAGCCCGAGCTCCCCGGGGAGGGGGGCCTGTGCCTTCCTGCTGCCGGCTCACCTTTCCTTGTTTGGCACAGGGTCTGTCACAGGGGGTGTGCCCAGTAAGTGTGCCCTGTGTAAGACCCCAGGCACGCTGCTGCGTCTGTCTGCACTGCCTTACATCAGAGACGCCCAGGGAGAGAGCAGGGAACCACAGCCAGGAGGCAGCCTTAGGTGAATACAGAAAACCTGGGCGTGAGGGGAGCCTGGCTACCTGAGACTCCACTGGCTCAGTGAGAACTGATGGCCACAGCTGGGACCCAGAGCCTCTGCTCTGTCTCCTGAGCACTTGGAGAAATATGCAGTTAGACCCTGACTAGCGGTAGTGACTTCATACCCAGACCATCAGACGCTCCCTCCGCACTCAGCTGGGCTAGCATTCTATTAATCGGAATTCAATAACGAGAAGTATTGGGAACTAGATACCAGGTTCTAGTCCTGACTCTGCAAAGATCTTGGGTGACCTTGGGCCGCAGTTTGACAGATAATTTTAACTGTAGCCCTGGTCCATGAGTGGGTCATGAAATCAGTTTTGAGGGTTGCATCTGGTGGTGCGCATGCGTGCATGCGTGCATGTGTGTGTGTATGCCGTGTGTGTGTGCTTGTGCATGTGTTAATATATCACAAGCAGTAAAGTGCTGCTTCAGCAAATTGTGCCTCTCTGGTAGAT